CTCTTGTTCTTTTTGCGACACGTGGTAGACGTGCTGTCGTACAGGCCGTTCGGGAGGGTTCGTTATAATGCGGTGCTTCACGGTTGGGGTCTGCTTGATTTTGGAGGTGGATGCAAAGCAGTCACTATACGTACATAAAATCACGCGTATCTGCTGTTGCTGCGCAGAGGATAGCTGGCAATTAACGTCAACTGTACTGGCTAATGCAGTGTTACCTTCGGCAGCAGTGGCAATCGGAGCGATAGTGGAACATTCTTCGTCATCAATGGCTTCAAAGTTCGCGATCGCTGTTCGCTTTGCCAAGTGTTGGTACTGGCCGCCGAATCTCGTGATGAGAAGCTGAGTCCTCCGATGATTTAGTTGGACGATAGCACGCGTGACACAAATCTGCCGAGCCAAGAGCACCGAGAGGTTAGTTTCCGCGATGCCACCACTTTTGTTGTCACAGTCGCTCTCCACAGTTATCAACATACTGGCTCGCGGCGGAAGTGCGATGGCGTCGTCAGCAATTCGAAGTGTTGTGGTCTGCACAACTCCATTCCTTCGTAGGGCTGTATGGTCGTTAGATAACGTTATGAGCAGGTCGCGAAGGTTAATAATGGCTCCATGCTCGCGGAGAAAATCCATTCAGAGAATCAGGTTTTGGGAGGATTCGCGCAATATAATGAAGGAAGCAATGTACGTCGACTCACGAATTCGGAGGTGGGCAGTGCACATTCCCAGCGGTGTCAATAGGTGACCTCTCACAGTCAGGAGGTTGGTTCCATGTCCCCAAGGTGTCGTTACCTTTCTTAGCTGTGCAGTGAGGTCAGCGTTTATAACAGAATAATAGGCAACCGTATCTACCAGAGCGGTCAGCGGGTGGTTGTCGACAAGGACAGATACGAGCAGAGACACGTTTGTCGTCGATGGCACATGTCGGTGAAAGGATGTGGTCGGATGTCGGCAGGCAGATCGGGGGAGGGTCTTGTAATGATCGATCAACAGCGGCCTCACCCGCAGAGGTCGCTGTTCTTAGTTTCCCCAGCGCGGGCTTGTGGATCTAGTCGATCTTCCTGCAAGGACGTCCGCAAAGGTCGATTGTTGGCCAGGTGACGTGGAACGCCGTGGAGACGGTGAGCGGGATTAGCGACGCGGAACGGTTGAGGATCGTTGGCTTGCCAAGTATTTGGCGATAGCACGGGGCCGCTCACCATCGCTGGGTCGACGAGCATCCGGACGAAAGCCAGGAAGACCCATGTGCCTGTATGCGCACTCAGGGTAGATGTGACCTGGTTCACCACTGTGATAACATAGAGGCCGGTTGTCGGGAGCATGCCATACACTGGATTTTCGTGTAAGGGGTGGGTTGCCGTACTGCGGTGGTCCTGAGTAGAATGACGGCGCCGTCTGCAGAGTGGACGGACGGGACGGATAGCCAACTGCCGGTGCAGGAGTACGTACTATGTCTGCGTACGTTAATAGTGGAGATTCGGCTGGACGCGGGGCTGTCATGGGTTGGACTTCGGCTGCACGCAGAGTCGTCATGGTGTGCACCAGCTGCCGGACGTCTTCGTGAACGACATTCGTTAGAGCAGCGACATGAGGCGAAGAAGACACCACGTGCAGCTTTTGCAGCTCCTCGCACACAATACTGCGCACGAGCTCCGTCAGGTCTCAAACAGTCATGACGTCAGGTGTTGGTAGGGCCAACGACACTGTCGAAAGACTGCCGGGACGCTCATACTGGTAAGAGCGCTGCCTTAGTATTCTCTCCATTGTCGTGGCTTCGCAGAGGAAATCCTCTACAGTGCTGGGAGGGTTCCGCACTAGTCCCGCGAACAGCTGCTCTTTCAATCCCCGCATTAGGAGGCGCACCTTCTTCTCTTCTATCATTGAGGAATCAGCTCGCCTGAACAGCCGCGACATGTCCTCAACGAACATGGCAACACTCTCGTTCGGACGATGGTTTCGGGAATTGAGGAGCCGTTACGCTTGCTCCTGGCCAGGTTGTCATAGTAGCTTCATGGTTTTTGAACCAAGTGCGCGCAGAGTCCTCGAGATCAAAGTAGACATACCGAAGATTTCGCTGCTCGTTCCACTCGTTGACGCTGCCGCAACAGTTGTAGTCGTCAAGCCAGTCGTAGGCGTCACCGTAAGGGTCACCGTGGAACGGCTTCGGGGTTCGTGGGTTACTGCATTAGCCATTGTACTGCCGAGTTGTGGAAATGGTCCGAATTCAGGAGGTAGGCCTAGTTGTCGCCTGCTACGCCGTAGGTCAGCTGGTTCTTCCAAGTCGTAACTAGTGTCGGGACCTTGCTGCTGATTGCAGTGCATACAACACTACCCAGCACCTCCACCAGAAAATCTCACGTGATTACAGAACGACCACAACGTCTGCTCACAGGAGCAGCACTGGACGTCGAGCCGAACCGAACGTTAGAGCACGAGCACACCAACCGTCCTTCTCTTTTTTCTTGTTTCACACCATATATATATATATATATATATATATATATATATATATATATATATATATATATCCGACAGTTCATATAGTACGAGGCTTCGCCAGCACCGTCCTGAACTAGTTCACGTTGTGCGCATGAAGCCTTATGAAAGGTAGTGACTGCGCAAGACACTTCTTAAAGAACAGACAAAAAAAACTGCACTACTGGTTTAGCATCGGGGCGATGCTCATTAAGAGGGGGGGGGGCAAATGACGCGTGTGTACTGGTGGACCAAAACGACAATAAGGGGATTTGGCGGACACCAGGTAGTGGAGCTCTGGCTGATTGAAGATAAAGAAGGCGATCTTGCTGTTCGGCTGCTGAGAGTCGCTCTGTCAACGTTCATCTGCCCTTGGTTCGCGCTGCACCGCGACAATATATATATATATATATATATATATATATATATATATATATATATATATATATATATATATTAAGCAAAGAAGTGCATACTTAAGGGCTCGTTTTTCTGTTTTACATAATACTAATGAGATCTAACAGACAAAGCCAAGGAAGGTATAAGGGAAAGTATTTGACCAAGTGTTCGAGACACGAAGGTAAATGCATTCCTTCAGCTAGGCTCTCTGGTTCTGGTATATAGACACTCGGAGCTTGCATAAGCGATGCACAGTAAGCGCGAAATCACGCGCTTAAAACAAGATGACCCTTTCAGAAAGCATTATCATCCTCCAGAAATTTGGTTCTATGAAACTGAGTTGTCACCAGTATAGTATCAGTGTTGTGGCAAAGTTACTTCTCCTCGGGTTTCTCGTGAAACAATCGAGCGCATGTGGACTGGTATGAGAATCAGTATTCTGAATACTGTATAGACTGCCGAAAGAACGAGCGTATGCTTTCAGCGCCGTTTTGATACTTCTGCACTCTTTGTAGTTCGCCAGGAGTCAATTATGATGTGGTGAGGCTTAAAGCGCTGTTTTCAGGCTGCACAATATTCAGTGAGCAGTTAGGTCATCATCATCACCAGCCTGGCTACGTCCACTGAAGGACACAGGCCTCTCCCACGTTCCGCCAGTTAATTTTTTACTCGCAAACTTCTTAATCTCATCTGCCCACCTAACCTTCTCTCTCCCTTTAACCCGCTTGCCTTCTCTGCGTATCCAGTCAGCTACCCTTAATGATCAGCGGTTATCCTGTCTACGCGCTACATGCCCAGCCCATGTCCATTCCTTCTTCTTGATTTCAGCCCCGCCGCGGTGGTCTAGTGGCTAAGGTACTTGGCTGCTGACCCGCAGGTCGCGGGTTCGGATCCCGGCTGTGGCGGCTGCATTTCTGATGGAGGCGAAAATGCTGTAGGCCCGTGTGCTCAGATTTAGGTGCACGTTAAAGAACCCCAGGTGGTCGAAATTTCCGGAGCCCTCCACTACGGCGTCTCTCATAATCATATGGTGGTTTTGGGACGTTAAACCCCACAAATCATCAATCTTCTTGATTTCAACTAAGATATTTTTAACCCCCGTTTGTTCCCTAATCCTTTCTGCTCTCTTCTTGTCCCTTAAGGTTACACCTACTATTTTTCTTTAAATCGCTCGCTGCGTCGTCCTCAATTTAAGCTGAACCCTCTTTCTGAATCTCCAGGTTTCCACTCCGTAGCTAAGTACCGGCAAGATACAGCTGTTATATACCTTCCTCTTGAGGGGTAGTGGCAATCTACCTGTCATATTTTGAGAGTGCTTGCCAAATGTGCTCCAACCCATTCTTATTCTTCTAGTTACTACAATCTCGTGGTTTGGCTCCGTGGTTATTACCTGCCCTTTGTAGACATAGTATTTTACAATTTGAAATGCACTATTACCTATCTCGAAGTGCTGCTCTCTTCCGAGGTTGTTGTACATTACTTTCGTTTTCTTCAGATTAATTTTAAGACCCACCTTTCTGCTTTCCTTGTCTAACTCCGTGAGGGGACGAATTGCAACTCATGATTACGGAGTTAGACACGGTGCATTTAGGGGGATCCGTGCAAACTTCGATTGCACGTAATTTTTTTCTTTTGTGGGTTAGCAGTAGACATCTGAAAAAGGGAATTTCTCGATACAATTTTGTATGTCATTTCTCGCCTGCACCATGACACGTATGAGGTGTGCATACACTGATATAGGCTTAACAGTGCATTTAATGCGATAAAAACGAGCAATTACGCGCTTTTGTAAGCTACGACGCACGTGATACAAATGCAGACGCTCTTAATATCTTCAGTGCAAACTAAATACAGCGGTGTCGCTCCTGCCAACCTCTGGATAGGGAGCCTTCATGTGTGCGCGTCTCCGTGTTAGACGCACGCACCTGAAGGCTCCCTGATTCTCCCTCTGGAGAATCAGCCGAGAAACGGAGATGCCACCTCATTCATTCTGCCGCCCTCTACAAGTATATTGTGACACTGTTTTATATGGAGGACAGTCTTGAAAACAGCATCTCTTTTTTTAATAGTCAGCTAACAGAATACTGTACAAATTGAATACGTGATTGAACAGTCGCATTCATTCGTGACAGATGTGAAGAATGAGTTCCTGCAGCAAGGCACAATTATACCTTATGCGACGCCAACTGGGGAATTTGAGGGAATGCCACCCCCGGAAAGATTTTCTCCGGATCTGTTGGAGTGAGTATTATACTTCAATGATCAGCTTCTCAAACCATTATAAAGAACAACTTAAAAAATTCAATTATGGTAGTAGGGACTATATAGACGGGACGACTTGATTTCGGGGCCCCTTTCACCAAAGTGTGTTGCCTTATAAACAATGGTGTCATACTTAAAAAAATCATGTTTTACGTACTACAACATGATTATAGGGTTCGCTGTAGTAGAATACTGCAGTAATTACGACCACACAAGCCAAAATAGAAGCGAGTGTGCAAGGATTCCAGAGTGGCACTGGAGTTTATTATTCGTTTGACTTTAAATCCCCCTGTTTACGCTGCTCTTTACAGATCAAATGTCTGAAGGCCAGACAGACCCATTCTCTAGAAAAGCCACTCTATTTAGGCATAGGGCCTGTCTCATTGTGCTTCACAAAATGAGGCGATTGCTCGGCTGTGGGAGTGGTTGGGCCATTACGCCACTGTGAGGAATTCCAGCGTGCTACAATGACTGATCATGGCGGATAATGTCTTATTGGTCACACACCTGGTCCACTGCACCTTGCTGCTTTTCCTTTTAAAGAGCTGCAGCATAATAAAGCGACTCATCACGACCGGAAACGTGGTCTTTTATCGAGCGTACTTGTGACGCTTTCCGCGTAAATTAATTTGCGTTTGTGCCCTTTCGCTAGAAAAAATTTACTGAACCGTGTTACAGCTTGAAAAACGTGGAGGATACCTGACTTTCATGTTTACGAGCAGAACGTAATAGCCTAGACCTGCGCAGGGTTGCCCATTAGAGAGGGGGGGGGCGAATGCTTTCATAGTCAGCTACAGCCTAAGAATAAATGTAAGCTTCGCCTACAGCGGACACCGTCCCTTTCAGGCAGAATTTGCATATAAGTCTTACCAAATCGCAGTCGGCTATTTACGTGACGTCAGGCAGATTTAAGATTTCAGTCATATCACTTGCCCGCACAGGCTTGTGTTCCTTTCGCTAGTTTACGGCCGAACAATTTTGCTTCTCTCCAAATTTCATTTCAAATTTTGAATTCACTATTCTAACGTAATGTTCTAACAAGAGAAGATGGACTTTAAATTTATGATATGCATAGTACTTGCATTACGGGCAAATAGGTGCTTATGGTAAAAACGGAAATCAGCAATCATTGCTGTGTTGCACAGATGAATGACACGCGTGCTGCCGTACTGGGGGGAAGCGTATATATATATATATATATATATATATATATATATATATATATATATATATATATATATCAGGTTGTAACCTACTAAAGATGGCACCACCCCTTTCTATCAATCCAAAAGTATAGGACAGATATTGCGCCCCCCTTATAAGGCAATAAGAAGGCGGGCTTCTTCAACTACGAGACATTCATATAGTGTTTGTTTTCGAAGCAGTTTGAAGCACTCGAGTAGCTCTGTGGTAGAACACCTGTTTGCCACGCAGAAGACCAGGGTTTCATTCTCACTCGAACAAAATATTTACGTATTTATGGTTTATTCCCTTTGCTCTAAATTTTTCGTCTCGGGCAACAACATTTCGCTTACAACCAGCGACACCAACACACACACTTCAGCGATACAAGCTCTGTAACATTATCGCGTTAAAACAAAGGCGAAATTTTTAACCTTATCAGCTCTGCTATATATATCATTATCATCATCAGCCTGACTAAGTCCACTGCAGGACAAAGGCCTCTCCCATGTTCAACCAGTTAACCCGGTCCTGTGCTTGCTGCTGCCAATTTATACCCGCAAACTTCTTAATCTCGTCTGCCCACCTACCCTTCTGTCTCCCCCTAACCCGCTTCCCTTCTCTGGGAATCCAGTTAGTTACCCTTAATGACCAGCGGTTATCCTGTCTACGCGCTACATGCCCGGCCCATGTCCATTTCCTCTTCTTTATTTCAACTATGATATCCTTAACCCCCGTTTGTCCCCTAATCCACTCTGCTCTCTTCTTCTCTCTTAAGGTTACACCTACCATTTTTCTTTCCATTGCTCACTGCGTCGTCCTCAATTTAAGCTGAACGCTCTTTGTAAGTCTCCAGTTTTCTGCTCCGTAGCTAAGTACCGGCAAGATACAGTTCTTATATACCTTCCTCTTGAGGGATAGTGGCAATCTACCTGTCATAATTTGAGAGTGCTTGCCGAATGTACTCCACCCCATTCTTATTCTTCTAGTTACTTCAATCTCGTGGTTAGGCTCTGCGGTTATTACCAGCCCTAAGTAGACATAGTCTTTTACAACTTCAAGTTCACCATTACCTATCTCGAAGCGCTGCTCCTTTCCGAGGTTGTTGTACATTACTTTCGTTTTCTGCTGAATAATTTTAAGACCCACCTTTCTGCTTTCCTTGTCTAACTCCGTAATCATGAGTTGCAATTCGTCCCCTGAGTTACTCAGCAATGCAATGTCATCGGCGAAGCGCAGGTTACTAAGGTATTCTCCATTAACTCTTATCCCTAACTGTTCCCATTCTAGGCTTCTGAAAACCTCCTGTAAGCACGCGGTAAATAGCATTAGGGAGATTGTGTCCCCCTGCCTTACACCCTTCTTGATTGGTATTCTGTTGCTTTCTTTATGAAGCACTATGGTAGAAGTTGATCCCCCGTAGATTTCTTCCAGAATGTTTATATATACTTCATCTGCGCCCTGATTCCGCAGTGTCTGCATGACGGCTGATATTTCTACTGAATCAAACGCCTTCTCGTAATCTATGAAGGCTATGTATAGTGGTTGGTTATACTCTGAGCATTTCTCTATTACCTGATTGATAGTATGAATGTGGTCAATTATTGAGTAGCCTGTTCGAAATCCTGCTTGTGCCTTTAATTGATTGAATTCTAATGTTTTCTTTACTCTGTTAGCAATTACCTTTGTAAATAGCTTGTATACTACAGAGAGCAAGCTGATCGGCTTGTAATTCTTCAAGTCCTTGTCATCTCCTTTCTTATGTATTGTTGAGAAACGACGGACCGATCCCGCCGAAGCCACCACTGTTGCGAAAGACGGCGACGCCAACACGGCCCCGGAGGCGCCACTGCTTTCAACTCCGCCGGGAAGGTCACCAGCCGTTTGGTAGCGTATGTTTATCAGCTCGCGACTGCTTCTGCGCAGAGCTGATAAGACGAGCGGACGAGACGACGGTGAGTTAAACAAGGTTTATGTACAGCATATTTACAGAGGCGTTACAATTTCGGCACTGGGGCCGACAGAGACTCGAAGAGCCGAGCTCTCTTCTCTAACACATAGGTCAGCCTTTCGCCTAAGACCGCTGACTCACACACATGTCGGCTCTCCGACACGGGGACTCCTCTCCTAGGACCTCCGATCGCGACGCGCCGCAGGGCTTCTTTTATTTGCACCGGGTCCAACCAAAAAGTCCAATCAGAAGCGCCGCTGGTCGTCAGGGCAGGTTCCGCCAATGGGGCCGCCGCGCCATGCGTCAGACCACCAGGCACGAGAACGCCGGCTCGCTGTCACGTGCGCCGCTGACTCAATGCACGTGGGCGAGAGAGGCGCCGCGCGTGTTCACTCCGTCGAGTTGATCGCGCCAGGCGACTGCGGGCTGGCCTTGACCCAGATTGCCTTTTTCAGAGGCACGGACGTTTGACGAGGACTCGCTGGCATAACAGCACCCCCGCCGCCAGACAATGCACCGGAAAGACGAGCTGCTTCCACGGGGCTCGGATGTCAGGTGCGCTCGTTCGCCAGGTCCCTCCAGGTTCGCCTCCAGGGCCATGGGGAGAATACAGCTCCAGACTGTTCCGGGAACACATCCCATTTTTGACGACGGATCCCAGCTCCACTGGCTTGTCGCCACAACTTGTCGACCAGCTTCACGCGTCTCTTCTGACCATCTTCAGTTTCAGCACTTGTCGATGGTTCTGCAACTTGCCAAGAACGGTTCGACAACAGACAACACACGACACAAGCAAGTGCCCTCGGTCACCCGACAGAACACCAGACAAAGTATAATACAACATATACCTATCTACGTGTTTATCGGAATTTTGTTCCCTCTACATCAAGAGGCACATGTGGGACAAAAGACCCTTAAAATGACAACTCAATTTTTTTTCCCACGTACAACAACGTAACGGATTAGAATACCACATAAAGTTGGCCCCTTGAGAGCACTCTGAACGAGAGCGCTCAGCCCAGGTCGTGATGAGGTCAAAATTTTGCCCCGAATCGCCAGCCAGAAACCGAAAGGTTGAGAAGTTACTAGCTGGAACGCACTGCTCAATGCACCTGCATTAGCGTTTACCTTTCCTTTATTTTTTTTTTATAGTGAACGTCAAAGTTGCGCTGTGGAGCAACATGCTCCACTTCAGTAACCGGCCACTTTTAGGCGACGATACCTATGCGGCACCAAGAGCGGCTCACACTTTCGACGTTGCACAGGGGAACAACGATACGGCTTGCTACGGATTGACTCCTCACCGCTTAGCTCGATATCGTGTTCGCTCACCGTCGTGTCTCCGGGACGGTCCGACAACACATACCCAAACTCGGAAACAATCTTTCTCAGGTCCTCTTTCTCAGGTCCTCCTTCACTTAAGCTAGGCTCTAGGTTTATCTGCTCCCGGATTACTTTCGATCCCCCTTCAATTACCTCACTAGAACTCAAAATTTCTGCTCCCTCTTCCTCTGAAGCATTCAACTGCTGATTGACGACTGCTTTCAAGTTGTAAATTTTGTCCGGCCGCCTTCCTAATTTCACTTCATAATTTGTATCGCAAGGCTTCGATAATACTTTGGCGGGCTCTTCCCCATCAACCTCAAGCTTGTTCCTTTTGGATGGCTGCAGCAGCATCACCTGATTATAAACTTTAAAAGCGCGCTTCTTCCCCGATTTCTCGTAGTGCTCCTTCGACAGCACTTGTGCCGCGTTTTTCTGGCTTTCCACTAGCGCTTCAATTTGGCTTTCCACTAGCGCTTCAATCGAGAGATCCTCACGCTGCTCTCGAATGAGCGTCTCTCGA